GGGGGGGGGGGGGGGGGGGGGGGGGGGGGGGGGGGGGGGGGCTCTGTTTCAGCCCGCCCCTCCCTCTGTAACACCACTGTTGAATCAGAGAACAGCCTATTTCCGAATTGGATTGGGAGATTACCCACACAATTGTTTGACAGGGGACTGTTATCCAGCGTTTGCGGGAAATGGACGCAGCAGGAGAAACTGATTTAGGCCGCACATGCTATTTTAGAGGTATTACTAAAAATAAATCAGTTTGTTGTGGGCATTTACGTGGCTGGGATACACAGAAAATCCAGTGATGATTTAGAGTCAGTGGTGATCTCAGGTAATCTCTCCTGGAACAAAACCTGCGGATAAGCTCACCCGCACATATTTATCCACTCAGGGATATTTGTTTAGTAAATGAGCATTCAAATACAACCAGACATTTACAAACGCGCACATTTCCATCTCGGTGTTTGTGTCGCAACTAAGAAAGTTTGAACTTAGCCCTTAACCTTTTCCCCGGCCACGCCCCTTTCCGCCCAGGCCCCCTCCCCATTTTGTGGCAAAGATGTCCACACATGCAGCTCCCTCCCCTTCTCGCCTGAGGAAAAGTATTGTAGGATTCCAGCCTGGTAAGTTTGTTGGTATACGTATCTAAGAGATTCTGAATTAGTTCTGTCCCCGGGCCTGTGGGACCACTCTGAGGGCCGATGCTGCTGGTGCTTTGAGCTTCTCAGCATGAAGGATCCATTAAAGGTAGGGAGCAGAATGGGGCCGGCAGCAGATTATTTTTCTCACTGAAATGCTTCAGGTGAAACAGGTTAAACTCTGAAATGTCGAATTAGAAAGGTGTCCGGCTGTAGTTTGGACGGACTCTTCATTTATTTGTGTGCTGGCTATTGGATGTGATATTACTTCATCTTGTCTGAGGTCTATGTCTAAATAGCTCATTTTTTATGTCTTTTGAGGCAGACTCACGTGTATTTAAACTGAAAACTCAGTCACTTCCGTTTAAACTGAAATCAAATCTTGCAGTTATCTCCAGACCCTCTCTGAGTTTGTGCTGTTTTGTCATTCTTGTTGAACTTTGTCATTTGCCCCTTAATGTCGTCGTTTGTCTGACAATGTGGATGGTTTGTCTTTTTTGGAGGGCATTTGGATGTTTATTAGCTGTGAAATGCATGAAAAAGCATTGCTGAATTAAGCTAAATCAGAGTTCTAAAATGGTTTTCAATAGGGAGCCCAATGTCAGGGTTTTTTATTTACCGACTGACCCTGAATGTGCAGTGATGGTAAAAGGAAAATACACTTTCTGAGCTGTAACATCTCTGACTAAGCTTCGGTTAGTGAGATGTTCATAACAGTGCAAGTACTATTTTCTGCTACGAGAAGAGGTGCTGTGCTCCTTTGGAGGTGTTAGTTTCCTGTAAGCGCCTCCTGTAAACGTTCCACTCTTTATCTGACAGCACCGGACTTTCCCTCATCGTCCTCCTCCTCTCATCCTCCTGACACCCCAGCTATTGGATTCAATTAATCAGCCGTGGAGAGGGATTTATTCAATCCCTGCCCAATGGGATTCTTTGGTATGTGGCCCCAGTGGTAGCAGGTTGAGAAGCCACGGTTTACACTGTCTTTAGGCCAATTACTCTCACCTCACAGCCCACTCATAAAGAACGCTTTGAGCTGCCGGGTTCTGGGGGGATCCGGTGGGCTTTATGTGCCATAATAGCTTGGTGGATTCAGTCACTGCAGACAGACATGTTTACCAAACTCTGTTTAGGTGGAGCAAGAGAGATTACGTGTGCCATTTTGAGTGACCAGGGGCCTGATTATTGGATGGGAAACCTCAACCAAATGACAACATGTTGTTCTCCTGGAAAGACCACCTTGGACTGGCTCTAATACAGTATTAAGCACGAATGTTTACTCTCAGAACACTGACAGGAGTTAATCACATTAAAGACAGATTCAAAGAGCTTATTACGGTATCTTTCTGTTCACTTTTGCAATTTAGATGTAAATGATATTTCTAATTATTTAATGGAATAAATGGCTTTGATAAGAATCACTGACCTGAATTTACTGCAACAAAAACTAATCAGAAGTGCTAATAAACGGCATGTAACAGCATCTTCTAATGGCTGTTTACACACGGGCCGGCCATCTTTATAATTCAACTCGGAGTAAATTGGGTTTATCAAGAAGGAGAATCCAAATTCCGGTGGTGTTCCTGTTAAAAAATATTCTGACTATATACTTGGAAATTTCGACTATTAAGTACAAATTAACTGCAGCATGAGCCCCTCGATTCCACTCCGGCCCCATCTGCTGCAAGGTTGTCTCCTTCTGAGATTGGTAGTACTCAATAACTCCAGCTCATTACCACAGTATTAGTACTCACAGTAGCTGCTCTGGGATCTAACACTAGCTCACACTAGAGACCAGCTCAGACCAGCACACACTAAATATTCTTCTGGAGGTTTTATTCTTAGACTATGTCTTCTTTTGTCTGCCGTTAGGCCTTGAACAGATGGCACAAATCCCACTTTTATTCAAAACCACAAGAGTATTTTTTTAAGATTGATCTACTTTGTTAAAAAAGTTCATCACAGAACATATTCTCCAGATAAAACAAACCGCTTGTTTTTCTGCCTTGAGTCCACTTATGGGCTCCACAAACCTCTGACTTCATCAGTGCTCTGGTTCTCAGTCTGTTGATTTTTCAGAACTGCTTAAATAGACGACTGCAGCCCGGTTTTAGCATGTTTGTCAGGTTTTTTTAGTCATGATCAGCATAACTAAATACAGTTGCGTGAGGGTACCCTTAGGGTAAATTGAATGATCACCTTCCAACTAGAGCCAAAAAAGTCAGATATTCTCTTTGGATTATGAATCATTAAATAAAGGAGAGGTAGAGCACTGATACTACATCTATCTCCTCATTTAAGATGACCATATAAATGATTCAACTATTTTAATAGTAAAAAGGCATGCTAGCAACAAAAAAAAAAGTTAAACTTCATCTGACGTACAGAAAATACGCCTTAACTTAAAGTTGAAATTGGGGCAGGAGATGAAAATGAGTGAGCTGCGTATTTCCTGGGAATAGTATGTAGAAATCCCCATAAAACCTGAACCACTCACTGAGTGAGACATTTTCAGACCAAAGCTGCTTTAAACAAAATGCCAGGGTTGTGATTTTCTTAATTTGGCAGGAACCTCAGACACATAAATATGTGCTCTCTCTTAGAAAAAAAAAAAAAAAAGATAACAAAGCCATTTTGGGGCATTATGAGAGACTTGTAAGTGGATTTCTTATTTGAAGGTATGAGGCACCCACAGTGAGCCGCTAGTGAGCACTCCGTGTGGTGTGAAGAAGAACATGCATGTCTTGTCTTTGTGTTTTAGACACAGTCTTGTTACACTGTTTGCACTAGATCACATGCACAGACTGGTTTGACCTTTTCCCTTTTCAGTGTTTAGACAGATGTCTGCACCGACAAGACATTTCCTGCATCTCATCTCCGCGTAACCTCTTCTTTCCCACTCTCTGCAGCTCCACCGCGGTTCACCAACACAGCATGGCGGCACTTCTTAAAGCTAACTGGAGTAGTATTTCTGTCATCTCATTTCCTTTTATCTAGGATCCCAGCCTTTCCTTATAAAAGCTGCTTTTTGACCGAATGCCAAAAGGTGACATCTTACATAACGCAATGTTGATCCAAGAGAATCCATGTATTGGATCCGGGGGTAGATCTTGATCTCACTTTGATTTACAGTTCCCACAACATGTCGCAAGCGTGTGAACAAATTTCTTTAACTATCCAACATCAGGATGAATGAAAAACGAAGCGGAAAGACAACAGACGTGAAAACATTGGTGGTTTTAGACTTCAGGGCATCGTGTCACTGTCGGTCAAAGTGGAGCTGGATGCTGGATCATTGCCTAATGGAGTTGTTTTCTCAGCAGTCTAGACTATACTAATGTTTTTCTTCAGTAAGCATTTAATTAAAAAAAAAAAAACTTCTAATATTTCCCAGCATAGGTCATATTTTCAACTATGTGTAATTGCAGTACGGTTATGGGGATTTCCTGTCAGTCTGTGTGAACATGTGATGAAACTGTTTCTGTTTACCAGTGAGAGGCTCAGATGAGATGATCTAAAGGGCACTTCCACCCAGTCTGGGACCAAATATCTGCTTTTTTTCTGGAACTACTCCAAGTTTAAGGTATCTCTTAGTTTTTCTGGGTATTCAGAACCTCTGTTCCTAACCGGTGGGATGCTGGACGAGGTGTAAAAACAGAAGGCAGCGACTTTAAAATCTACCCAACCAGTATTTAACTTGCAGGAGAATTGATCTGACGTTTAATCAGATTACATTTTCATAGAAAACAAATCAAATGTTGAGTCAGACACACTTCATGGAAACCTTACCCCGTTCTTGAATTTGAAAAAAAAAAAATTGGAATAAGATAAGCAAAAAAGAAACTGAAAGCTGATGGGAGCACCTGAGAATAGAGCTAGACACTAGACAGGTTGGCACAGAAGGACAGCATCCCCTGAGAGAGGAGGGGGGGCTGTAAGCTGTCAGCAAAATACCAGCGCTCCACTGGAGGTGCCTTTAAATCAAATTCTTTCAGACAGAAAATGAGACTCGCAGTAAGCAGTCGCACGATATTAACAAATCGCCTTCTGTTGGAGAGATTATCAGACCTTTGCAGAGCTGTGCACTTCACCGACTGACTGCTTCCTTGTTGCATTTGCAGGAGGAGCTGTGGCTAATGAGGCAGGCTAGAGATGGAAATAACACGAGGAATTGTCACCGTACACTCAAATCTGTCACCGCTTTTGTGCGTGAAAAACAGCATCTACTCTGTGTATGTGTGTGTTTTGAAATTTTTTTTAGTTATTCTTATTTCACTCAAGCAGAGACAGATTTTCCTTGCACTTTGCAATTTTGGCTGCACGTTTTCCAGAGAGTTGTAAGAGCCTTTTGGATTTTCCAATTTCTGTTTATAGACAAATTAAAGACATATCTACGAATAGATTCACTTCATTTTTTGTCTCAACCATTAGACACTTGAATCTCTACCATGAGGCCGGTTCGATACGCATGTGGATACGTTTCCGGTGATGGATCCAGTAAAGCCCGCTGCTGATAATCGATGTAAGCGTGTGTTTTGCAGATTCAGACAGACACGTAGCCACCAGTCGTATTGGATGCAGGCTGTCGTTCACAGTTGTTTAGGAATGTTACAAATGAGCGCATGGTGCTCCCTGCCGTCAGTGCTGGAGAAGACTTTGGAACCTGACTGGAGTCCAGCTGTGCCTAACAGATGTTAATGGACATCATTCAAAAGGCGGCCGACACTCTGTACCTGTCTCACTCGTTATAGAGAGAGAATGAACGGCAAGCTGTCGCCGTGCTGTTCAGTTGCTGGCTCTGCATAGTTCATCGGGCTTTCTGACGGAGATTTTTTATTTGGTTTTGGACATTGGCTGCTCTTCCAGTTAGAATTTCCGAGGAATGAGCTTGTTTTCTTCGTTAAGCTGCTTAACCCTGACCTATGAATCATTCAAGCATCAAAGCACCTCATTCAGAGGATAATCAAGCGTTGTATCATGTTTAAAGAAATCACTGCAATTACTCTCCATTTTCCAGTCACTTCAGGGTGACTTAAGACTTTAGCTCTGTACAGTTCATACAACAGAGCTTTGAGAGAGCATGGTGTCACAGAAAGAATCAAAAAGTGGGGTCAGACTCATCTATTTGGGTCTCTATACTAGGGTGGGCAGAAGCTACTGGTAAGCAAAAGTTGGTAGAAATAATTTAATACGTATGAGTCCTCTGAATTTTGATATTCATCATTTTTTATGTTTTCTTTTTGGAAGCTTGTTAGGATGGATCAGGCATGTCTATACATGCGTGTTTTGTGAGAATTTACCTTTCATTCTCCTCATATTTCTGTTTGGACTTTGGCACCATGCAGCTTTTCATATACACGGTTGGTTTTAACAGGGAAGAAGCAGCAACGTGAATAGCTTTTATCTTTCTCCTCCTCACGTGTTTGCTTGGTAAAATTAAATAGTTGTGACTCATGCGTATAGACAACATAAAAAAGTCAGTGGGTAGCAATGTGCGTTCTTATGTAAAGGCCAGATGGTCCTGAAGAGTCATGGGACAGTGAGAGGGGAGGAAGGAGGGCGTGGAGGGTCTGTCAGGCTGACAGACTGAGTGATTGACTTGGGGGAGCCAACGCTCCAGGCCACAGGGCCTGGACAGAGGGAGGCGCTGCGGTCATTCAAGGATATGATGAAAAACATGGAATTAGGCTTTATCTGCAGAAGTTCAGCTTGTTGGTTTTGCTCTTGTTTTAGTTGCTGTTTTAAGCTGATGATCAGTGGTTTCAGGACGGACCCCTGAACTCAGCATGTGTGCTTTTAGTATTGCAGAACATCATGCAAAAAATGATGGTTTTCATTGATTTAGAATACAATTCGAATTTGAATTGATTTAGATTTGCTGAACTTGAGTGGTAAAATTCTTATTTTTATTCAGAACACATCATAGATAATAAAAGATAAGGATTACCTCTGCCCAAAGGCATTTTTAAATACCAAATTCTTAAATATGCAAAATGAAATATGTGGTCGTTTTTGTGTTTTTGATGGTGAAAGTGGTGAAGATGGTGTCTTGGAAGTCTGCCGAACGGTTGACAGGGTGAGTGTGCACCTGTCCTGAAAGCATCCAGCTGGGATTCGGAGAAGGCACGCCGAAGACTTAAAAAGGTCTTTGCTATTCCAAGTGTTTCCTCTTGGTTTGGTTGTCGACCTGTCAGCCTGTCTGTGTGAGAAGTCCCATCAACCAAACACCAACACCCAAACAGCTGCACTCCTTCTCGGACGCTTTTTGTCCTTCCAAAATCAACTCCGGGTAGAGCCGGAGTGGCCTGCTGAGATCCCACCTCCTCTGTGGCCCTGGACTCTCTTGAGGTTTCCCGTGTCCGCGCACGGCTTGTGTTTGCTGTGCGGTGCACCTGCAGCCCAAAGTCCTGCATCCTGCCGGAGGAAAGGTCAGTAGGGCCGGAGAAATTCTGCTGGCCGCCTCCTCTTAACAGCCAGATTCAAAGACAAACTCCAGAGCGTCGGAGACAATAACACAGCTGTTTGTTGCTCTTTCTGTGAATGAAAACATGTCTCGATCCGTTTTTCTCTGTGTCTCTGTGCGGCATTCTCCACAGGACTTCTGTTGCTAATGGCAACATAATTAAATATACAAATAGCATTTCCAGGAATGTTTGGAAATTCTGTGTTTGATAGTTTTTTCTAAGTTTTAAACTTTATTTCAGGGCCAGAAATCCAAAAGAGCAAAAGTAAATGTCTTTCCCAAAATGTATGTCAAACATAAATTAGTAGGATTAGAGAAAAGTTGGCAAAAATGAATTTGGAAATGCATTTAATTTAAAAATACCAGCAAACTTTAGATGGCATGTTGGAGTGAATGTGTGTGTGTGGTTGTTTGTCTCTGTGTGGCTGTGATGGACTGGACTGGTTCCTTCAATGATAGCCCCCCCCCCCCCCGACCCTACCAGGAATAGACGGCGTACACACGTTGAATAAGATTGTCAGAAACTGTCTTTAAGTAAAACCCAGAGAATGTGGGGGAAAAAAAGCCACTGTATAAGTTCAGATCACTCATAAAGTTTTTAAGTAAGTTCGTTTTTAATTATCTATGAGCCGACAGCAATCTGTGAGTTTTGAAGTTCATATTTGCAGTTTGGAACTCTTTGGTTCTTGAAGAAACACGCTGATGTTTATTCGAGGCAGCCTCTCCTGCGCACAGATAACAGGCAGAGTTTGTCTGATGAAACACCGGGAGTGGGCGAGTATGGGTGTGTGTGTGTGTGTGTGTGTGTGTTCTGTGTGGGGGAAGACGCAGAGAAAAGGTGAGACAGTCTGTACTGCAGGGTTTGGTCTTCTCCCTGTTTTTTGTCAGCAGCATGTCGCCATTAGGTCACTTTTCCCATTTAAACTGAACTAGTATAATTTTTCTCTGCTTTAGTCCTGAAATTTAGATTGGTGTTGGTGATTGGTGTTTTACATTCTGAGCTGCTTTGTGCTTAGAATTTTTAAGATGGTAATAATGTGCATGGAGCTGGACAGTTGCACTGGTGAAACTACAGAAATTACCAATGTGTTCTGCTCACGTGAGGTTACACTAAACAAACTAATTAATCAAATTAACATTTATAAAAGACTGGCTGCTTTTTTAAGAATAAAAGCTTTTCAAGAAGGACTTTCCACAATATTTCTCCTTTTGCATAAAACTGAAGAATAGTCAGTTTTTGTTAATATCTTGATACAAAAAAACACAAGAATGTTGGGGTAAAGTCTGCTTAAAAAGTTCTCCTTCATTTTCTGCTTTCGTTTATAAGATTTTTCAGGTCGGGGAAGCATTTCTGGTAAAGGGAAATCATTCATCTGGATTTTGTCAAGCTGTTGTTTTCAACTTGACTTTCTTCAAAATGTGAAGATGGATAAGAATTCTACTGCGTTTTCATATTAGAAGAAAAATCCTGGGATTCCTTCTGTGTTGGCTCTCTAATGCTCATTTTGTCTTCTGGCATCTTCATTAAAAGACGCCGCTGTTTGGTAATTTCATTATTGTCGCGTTCAACAACTAAACAGCCTGAGCTGAAGTGCCACTAAGTTGAAGTGTTGGATTTGCCTCAGTAAATAGTAATATTTAATTTTCAGCAGACGCTCAAACGTCGTGTCCCCTCACACACACACACAAACACATCCACACACAGACATACATATAACAGGATGGACAGACACAGCTGGGGGTATGGAGGAGGTCAGGAGAGAGGGCCATCTGATGCCAGCAGATGGAGTGAAGGAGGGAGGAGAGGAGAAGAGAGGCTGGAAATCAGGTCGACAACACCAAATGCTTATGGGCTCGTCTGAAGGCTCCGAGTTCACTTTGCATCCCGTCTGCTCCAGTGAGCTCTCCTTATGCTAAACTTTGGGACAGAGGGATCTTTCTTAACAGTCCATAAGTGGTAACTGAGATTACAAGCATCATTCAGGGGTAATGCAACATCACGGTCACCGGAGGGATGTTCTCAGTGTATCAGTCTGCATTATTCTGAGTAACAGAACTTCTAAAATGCTCTTTCGGTATACTTTGTCTCTATTTTTTTTATCTTGTGCAGCCATTTGTTACTTTTTTTAAAAATCATAAAGTCTGAAACACAAGACAAATACTCTTTAACATGCATTAGTTAACTAACTCACTGTGCATGGGAAAGCAGCTGGATTTCATATTACAGATGGACGCGTTCACTCCTTTCATTTCTGTGCAGCCGGTCAGCCCCCCCGCAGCCGCACTTTCCCAGAAACTTCCCGGTCACCTGAGGTCACCGGTGTCCGTGTCTCTGTTTCCTTGCAGAATGGAGCAGTTCCGGGAGAGCCAGTGAAAAAGGATGAAAACTCCCGGAGGGGGAACTGGGGCAACCAGATCGAGTTTGTCCTCACCAGCGTGGGCTATGCGGTGGGCCTGGGCAATGTCTGGAGGTTTCCCTACCTCTGCTACAGGAACGGAGGAGGTATGAGCCAGCTTTGATAAAGAGAGAAGAGAATCCAATAAGTCAGATTTTAGACATTATATTGCAGTTCCAATGAAGAATGACAGTCTGTTCAGAGGTCCTTTAAACTCATGCATCGTACTAATAAAAGTAGTTTACCTAATGAATGTGGTAATAAATAAACATGCTGGAATAAAGGAAGCTTGTCATGTAGGGTGGGTTTTGAAGGGAGGACTCAGGTGCGGAGATGACGGAAACAAGGTTTATTGTACAAAAGGGTGAACGTCCAGACAAAGTACAAATCAAAGCTGTGGAAAACTGTGAGCAAAGTAACAAAGTAAAGAATAACAAGACTGAGGCAAAAACTACGACTGTGACAAACTAACAAAATAACGATTAACAGAACTGTGGCAAAACTGTGACTATGACAAAAACAAACCTGGCGTGGGGTGACGAAGGACGACGAAACAAGACGGACAAGAACACACTCGCACAAGACAAGGGGAAACGAGGACTATTTAAACACATGAGGGAGGGGAACCCCAGGTGTACACAATAGGTAATCAAGACAAGACGAGACACCAGACGTGACAAAGCTATTGTTCAGCACTTATGAGAAACAATCGAAAGCATCCTAAAATACCAGTTAGGACACCAATTGATCTTAGAGGCAGCGTTTATATTGCTCACCGTAACTGAAAAAGCAACCGCACTCAGTTAGAGCAATAATTCTGCTGACTCATGCCAGGTTGCCACCATAGTAGAGTCAGTGGTTGTATCTCATATAAGCAAAGCAACATCAGGAGTTCAGCATATTCTGACTCCAGCAGGCGCTGCCCCAAATCCCATCCCCAGAGAGGTTATTAGATTTAGAGATCTGCCACCCATTCACACTGTTTCATCCAGTAGGCTGCAGGAACTCTGGATGGAACTAGAGGCCCAGTTTATTTGGCTGTTAAGTCCTGGCCATTGCACACAGCATCAGCAGAGCAGTGGATGAATTACACATCTGCTTCTTTTTTCCCTTTGAAGCGCATGTAGGTGTCGCTTCTGTCTTGGTAAGAAGTTCGTGTTGCCCACTTTAAATGACATTGTGTATCTTTCCCGTCGTCTTTAACAAGTCCAGAAGTGGGATCTGTCTTCGTTGTGCACATGTTCACAGCAGCTGTCCTCACGAGACGCACACAAATCCCCGTCTCTGTGCCCAGCCCCGCATCTAAAGCATCCGTTAATGCTCATTTTGCATAAATACGTTATTGTTCACTGAGATGTGAGCGGTATCAAAACGTGTCTGAGCACACAGAAGAATCCAGGTGTTGCTGCTGCTGTGCTCCTGACATGTGGCTCTAAACCACGGAGCAGCTGTGTTTACCGCACAGGAGCGTGATGACAAAAGGGAAAAATTCAAGCCCCGTCTTTTTTGTTTAGTCCCTATTTTTTCTTTTTCCTCCCTGAAGCAGATGCCCCCCCCGTCCCCCAAAAGCTCTGAATTCAGCACAACAAAAATATGTTTCACGTTTCTCTATTTCACATTGAAAATCCTCTGGAAAAGCACCAAAGTACTGTAAAGGGCAGCCCGTTTGTTCGGGGTCCGCTCTTTCACTGATTGGGGTTATTTCCATGGAGCTGCTCCCACTTTGGTTCACATGTTTACGCTGCAAATATTTGGATTAGCGTTATGAACGTAGTAGACTGCATTCCCGTGCACTCACTCACTGCGTGTGTGTGTGTGTGTGTGTGTGTGTGTGTGTGAGAGAGGGAAGGGGAGCTGAAGTTTAGCAGTGATAAGGTTTCACTGTTGTCCAGTGACATGGGTACGATACAAAAACACACAGGTTTCTTTTAGATATCTGGTTTACATTTCTAATAGCAGGCAGTGACCTCTGTGCTCACGCAACAGGAGGTTCCCATGACAGCTCAGGATCATGTTTTTTGTATTTTTTTTTTTTGCTCTACTCATTTCTGGTTTCATGTATTTCCTGGGTTTTATAAGTATAGCCCTCAGAATGGTGGAAATGTAACTAAGAAACCTGTTTTCTTTGAGATCAGATATTTGCTAATTTTGGATTTGATTGCAAATAATAATAATTAAAAAAAGCTCCTAAAAAATTCCAATAACTGGAGGTCAGGAATAGAAATGCTGGTGTAAAGGCACCATTGATGCTCGGTGTTATTTACATGTTTTGAAGTAACCGTGAGTTCCTGCTTTGTTGCTCCTTTCTATCAGGTGCCTTCATGCTTCCATACTTCATCATGTTGGTATTCTGTGGCATTCCCCTCTTCTTCCTCGAGCTTTCCTTTGGCCAGTTTGCCAGCCAGGGGTGCCTGGGAGTTTGGAAGATTAGCCCCATGTTCAAAGGTCAGTGTCTTTTGCCTATTTTTGTACTTTATTCTAATCTTGAAACCAAATGTAAATCTGTGTTTTTGCTGTCCAAACTCATCTGTACAGACATTTCATCTTCCTGTGCTCTCCCGTCTTTTTTTTGCTCTTCAGGCGTCGGCTACGGCATGATGGTGGTGTCCACCTACATCGGGATCTATTACAACGTTGTCATCTGCATCGCCTTCTACTACTTCTTCACGTCCATGACCAACCTGCTGCCGTGGACCTACTGCAACAACCCCTGGAACACGCCGGCCTGCAGCGGGGTGGTCAGCAGCAGCGGCCACCTCAACGGCACTCTGGCCAACGCCACCACCAGCCTGGTGGCAGGTGTGTCCGAGGTGGTCAACCGCTCAAAGAGGACCAGCCCCAGTGAGGAGTACTGGAAGTAAGAGCCAGATGGGCCTCATGGGCCCCTCAGAAACACTGTATTTGTCTGAAAAGAAAAAAAAAATAGGTTGGTTTAGCTTTCGTAGAAAGAACAGGTGACAGCGATATTGTGGTGTTTTTGATGTAAGGAGGGGAAAAAAATCGTCATTGGTCAGGCTGTGACTCCCAGTTACACAAGAGACCTGTTTGGACTCTCTGGAACCCTGCAGGGATGCTGTGCGTGGTCCACAGGACTTACACACATTAGATAAGCTCACCTCAAACATGCTCCGTGTTTGTACGGAGCTCTCAAATATTTGCAGTAGATTTGACTGGAGGTGCATCACCTTCTGATTACTGTGTGATTGCATCACGAGAAGGTTTCTGTTGTTACTGTACTGTTTGTAAATGGGACACACACAACCAGCTGAAGCACAGCATTGTGCAGAATTTTCCATCCACTTCTCACATTTGTACAAATACTTCCAGTCCGTCAGGCTTTCTTCTAATCCTTTAAAGTAGTGTTGAATAGTAGAAAGAACTTATTAGCCAGGAACTTTGCGCATGCTTTATGTGCCCTTTTTAATAAAAATAACTAATAAATTGAGGACAAAAGATACAGTGGCATGAAAATAGCATTTGAGGCTGATGAACAGTATCTGAATATAATGTCCTGAAGAAGTGGGGGGGGGGGGCCTCCAACCCAGGTCTTATATAAGGGATGGCATGTCATAGACAGAGCCTGGACCTCAAAATTGTGGAGGCAGTGTGGGGTAATTGTGACAGAGAACAGAACAAAAGGCAGCAAAAATCCAGAGGAGCTTTGGGGTATCCATAAATTCCATATAAGTTTACTCCAATTCAATATTACTTTATTAATCCCTGAAGGCAAAGCGTAATTCTGCCAGATTGATTATTATTAGATAGAGAGAAATAAATCAGCTGAAATGCATAAAATTGAAGCGCATGTATCAAATATTGACTTTCAAACTTGTTAGAAACGTACAAATGTGAAGAATCCATATCAGTATTCGTCATTCCCCTTTTTATTCATTCTCCAGAATGTTTTGTAGGCAGGTGACTTTTTTAAGTGGCATTAAAGGAAAGAAGGCTAAAGCTCTCGGTGCTTACGCCAGGCTCCTCTGGAGTATTTTAATACATTCCATTTCAATAATCCATCCCTATGCAGTCTGGGTCGGCCCTTTGGTGTTTTCTATGTGCAGTTCCAGGGCGGCGCCCCACTTTGCTAAAAACTAATAATACCACATTGCCCAGAGCCAAGACAAACATCCAGTTTGCCTTTATCGACTTGTTTAAAGTTTTGGTGACCTCCGCAAAGTACTGCAGCTTCTATTTGCTTCTTTAATGTGGCCTAAAGTTGGATTGATGTTTTCTTTTTCAGGGTTTTCCCACCATCAAAGAAAACACTTTGGGCCAAATGTAATAGTGTTTTTTTTTCCTTTTGTCCCTCCGTCCATGTAAGGCACTACGTGTTGAACATCTCTGATGATATCGGGAACTTTGGAGAGGTCCGTCTCCCTATCCTGGGCTGCCTGGCTATCTCCTGGTTTGTTGTCTTCCTCTGCCTCATCAGGGGCGTCAAATCTTCCGGAAAGGTCAGCATGGAAAGAGAGATGCACGTGAATTTACAGATTGGCCATATGCTGCTTTATGACTCTGAGAAACGTATATGAAGGTCTTGTCAACTCCTCTGTGACTAACTCTATGGTTGTCTGTGTGTGTTCAGGTGGTGTACTTCACGGCCACATTCCCCTATTTGGTTTTGACCATTCTGTTCATCCGTGGCATCACTCTGGATGGAGCCATAAACGGCATCAAGTATTACCTGACTCCACAGTGGCAGAAGGTTCTCGACGCAAAGGTATGCGAGTATCAGCGGGCAGATGAGCAGCTATTCTGGAATTGGAAATGTGTCCTTTCTTTCTTTGCTCTACATCTGCATTTTGGTTTCGCAGGTGTGGGGGGATGCTGCCTCACAGATCTTTTACTCCCTGGGTTGTGCCTGGGGTGGTCTCATTACCATGGCTTCATATAATAAGTTCCACAACAACTGTTTCAGGTTGGTATTCCACTCTGAGGGGAAACTAGAAGAACTTAACTGCTTTTAGAGTAGCTCCATGCTTTGTATGCATCGATATCTGGAGTGTTTGTCGATTTTTTTCTATTCTTTTTTGTTTACAAAGCCATGTAGGTAAAGCAATTTCAAAGATGCCTCTGAGCATAGAAGTCTGAGAGTCACACGCTACGGCACCATTGTTCACCTGTACACAAGAGAAAAAACTAATGTTTTCCTTTTGGACAGACAGTTGAATAAGGACATGTTTGTTTAAAGCAGTGAGTTAAACATCACCATAAAAAAGAGCATAAGGGTTTCTTAAGATTGCTCATTCAGCATAATATATGTGGTCTCTCTGTTTTTATCCCGGGCTAAGTCTGGCTAACGTGTGGAAAGTTTTTCCCAGTAATATCAAGGCCCTAGAATAAAACAAATAAAAAAAACTTGAAAAATATAAAACAAAAATGTCAGCAAGAGCACAGAAAAAGCTGAATGGCTGTGTGTGTGTATACTCCTGATGTGTCGGAAAAAGACTGATGGGAAAGCGTAGATTAACAATCTAAAACGGACAGGAGCCAACTTCGGCCTTTGACATTTAAAAAAGCAAAACTGTTAGAAGGGACATTTGGCTGCGATAGTTTTATTTTGGACTTGCATTAAGGGGCTGCCCAGTGCGGTTGGTCAACAAGTGAGAGAAGAAAACGTTATGTTGGAAAAAGGAGATAAAGAAAAGAAATGTCATTTCTGTCTTTAGCTTGTCCCCATATCCACAGAGGGCCAAAAAAAGAAGGTTGAAGATCTAATTTGTTCCTGGGCCAGGAGCCTGAGATAGTGCTATCTGTGCACGCAGCTGTGAGAAGGCCTTGTGTTCTGCAGCTCAGTCCCCGTGGAGAAGAACTGTGGAGAGATCTTGTCCTCCACAGTTACACCACCAATTGGCGCACACGGGGAAGTGCAAAATTAAGGAGCCATGAGGCTGAGGGATCAAAGAGCTGCAAAGCGTCGGACTTACCAAAGACCTCCTGTGTGAAAGCCCTCACTGGAAGTCTGTGAAGGGAAAACTGAACCCACAAAATTTGCTTGTTAAGTCTTAACAGAACGCACCACAGAGAGAGAAGGCGGTAAAAGCGGCTCTGCAGGGAGCTGAAATCAGTCAGAGAAAGGACAGCAGTTGCCACATTTCTGACAAATTGGGTGGTTCCAGCAGCTTCTCTAGTCTGACAATATCTTCTTCAGCTGTGGCTCAAATTCTGTTTGCAGAATAAGGTTCGATTTAGTCTCATAGTGTGATGAAGACAGAATGGAATCTCCCAGATACATTGAGCTGTCCAGAAATTATTTCCAGTTTCATATTAACATGGAGCGGTCGTTCTCCAGGCCTTTGTACGAGCCTGTGGGGAAGAGGAAGAGTCCAAATCAATACCAGCAACTTATTAAAGTAAAAATCCCTCCGTCTGATAAAAAGGATAAAAGATCAAAGATGAAAATACTCAGAGTCAGGATCATCTCAAAGGCATCTTTGCCATTGTCACAGTTCCATGATGGCAAAAAAAAACACCAAACCCCAAAGGAATCTTACATAACTGAGAGTTCTTAAAATCTGCATTACATTTTATTCTCTTATTGTGGTGAGGATCAGGTGTTTCATCACATTGCAGAGCCACTTCCTTAGAGGTTATCTGCAAACTTCCATTAGCGTTTCTGACAGCCCTGTTTTTTTTCCCTCACAAACAGAGACAGCATCATCATCAGCATCACCAACTGTGCCACCAGTGTGTACGCCGGCTTTGTCATTTTCTCCATCCTGGGTTTCATGGCGCACCACCTGAATGTCCCCGTGTCGGAGGTGGCCGACCACGGCCCCGGACTGGCCTTCGTGGCCTACCCGGAAGCTCTGACTCTGCTGCCCATCTCACCCCTCTGGTCCCTGCTGTTCTTCTTCATGCTCATCCTTCTGGGGCTTGGAACTCAGGTGAGGACAGAGACTAGATAAAAATGACTCCACTAACATGAAATCATTGTAGATGAGAGAGATTTTCAATAGAAGCACAGTACATATATATTCAAAAGGACTGAGGTCAGGACTTTGAGAATGTCATTCCAAAAGGCTCCACTTCCACAAAGGGCCTAGTTTGGAGTCATTATCTGTTTTTTTTTTTGTTTTTTTTGTTTTTTTGTGTCAAAGTTGTGCCTTGCCAAGCCATAACTAACATGAAAAAAAACTCTTTCTCATTTCTCACTTTAATGTAGCCAATCAAAAACAACCCCAGCGTGATATTAGCACTAGTTGGTTGAAGTGCTTGGGAGGGGATGTGGGGCCTGAGGCGATATTAAGGTGGACGTTTGGCCGTTTGAACAGCACCACTAACACCTAATAGCAGCTGTCAGGCTTGTTCAGCAGCCACAGGACCTGAAAACTGTTCTGTCCATCAGTCCTTTATGAACTCCTCTTTATACCAAAGAGTCAAATGTGAGGCCATCTGTCTGACGACTAGGACTTGGCTGTTTTTTTCGCTGAATATTTAATGGCGGTGTGGTCTACTATTTCATGTTTTGTCCATCTGTGGTTGCTCATCTACCTCGTTTTAAGCCCTGCTCTTTCTTTTCTTTATATTCTAATATGTAAAACCTAAGTAGAACGGTAAAACTTCTCACTTTAATTCAGTTTACAGGGACATTTATGACAGAGACCCTTTAAATGTCAACCTGTGAATTGAATTCCATTCCAAATCTCATTGCCTGATTGGTTAACGCTGGACGTGTTAAATGTCAGCATGGAGGACTGCTCCTAATGCCCCTTAAGACTCCCTCTGCACTTTTCCTATCATGTTTGCAGATATTTGCCAGTTTCAACTCTTTTTTTCAGTTGTATTTCTATCTCGTTCCACTTTCGTAGTTCTGCCTGCTGGAGACGCTTGTGACGGCTATTGTGGACGAGATCGGCACAGACTGGATCATGAGGAACAAGACCGTGGTCACACTGTCCGTAGCCATTGTCGGTTTCCTACTGGGGGTGCCTCTGACCACACAGGTAAGTCCCAAAGGCCTGCGGGCATGTCTTGGAAAGTGAGCCGTTTTCTCTAATGGGGAAACAAACCCCTCGTTTTTGTGTGCAGGCAGGAATCTACTGGCTGTTGCTGATGGACAATTATGCGGCTAGCTTCTCTCTGGTCATCATCTCCTGCATCATGTGTATCTGCGTCATGTATATCTATGGTGAGAAGAGAAAACAGGCTGAACACATTTTTTTTCCTTCTGAAACTCAGTTTATATAGCAAAATGGACTGTGTGCTGACTGTGTGGTATTCCATTTTGAGTTTATTTCTGGTCCAATTACCCCTTTGTCTTATCTCTGAAAATGTCTAGCTGAATGTAGACATCAAGATTCCGCTGGGAGATTATTAGAGAAACAGCAGTTCTAAATGTCAGTCTGAATTAAGCAAGATGTGTAGAAGGAAAAAAGACATGAAATGAAGAAAAAAACCTCTCCACACATTCTCCTTACTTAACTTTAGCAGTGCTGATTGAATTTACCCCTTTCTTTCAGTGAGTTTACTTGTAAGCTCCCAGTTTTATATGTGACAAATGCTCTGTATGGATTAATTCTCTTTAAAGTTTCTTAAAACGCCAATTATTTAATTTGTTTGTTGTTTCCAGATTAGGAATAAAGTGACAGTAAAGTATGTGGCGATTCCAATAAGGACTTATCAGCTGTAGATTAAATAAACTTGCCCCCTTGCTCATTTGTTATTGATATAGATAGTCTTTTATTGAGTTTCCACAAGTATTGCTCATTAAGCCGAATTCTGATCATGTTAAAAATGATGCCAGACGTTGTTTTTACCGCACAAAAAAAAAGAATGTTTTCTGTTTCTCTCAGGTCACACGAACTACTTCAAAGATGTTGAGATGATGCTGGGCTTCCCTCCTCCTCTCTTTTTCAAAGTCTGCTGGAGATTCATCTCTCCCGTCATCATCTCTGTAGGTTCAAACCCCACACACGCTCACAGTCGGCCATGGCCACACATGCACTGCTCCCATTAGGCTGGTGGCAGCTGAACGCGTCATGCGTCACGTCATAAGTTGTCCCCCCGGTGCTGTTGAGACAACAGTCTGACTGGGTTGGATCCGATAGCAAATGGGTTTCACTTCCCACATGGAATAACTGTAAACAGCCAGCCACAGTAATGGTCAGAATTTCATCTGGCGCACGCTCAGCGTTTTAGCAAGAATCCAACAAATTGTGCCATTGAATAAATACCTACCAGCTCTCATTAAAGTTTCCTTCCCATGATTTTAGCCACCTTGATAAACTGCTGCACCATGCAGTCTTCCCACTATTTCAGCCAAATGACCGGAAAGATTCTGGAAGCGTTTCAGCCTCTCTCTGTGTCCAAATATCATTTGTTGTCTTTTCTCCCATCCAGTTCGGTTCTGTTTACCACAGCAATACGTGCTCGGTTGATATGAAATTAATTTGCAAATTCACATGTTACTGACCCCTCGTGGCTACAACATTTCCTGATTCAAAGATACTGATACAGACTGGCAAAACTATCAATGTTGTGTATCTCAAATATTTAAACGGCCCAATCGTCTGCGGCCAGGTATGGCAGCTGAATCTGTCGTTATATTTTCACAGATAATATTTAATTACATCATATTTTAGACCCTGGCCATGTTCGCACTGTGGCTCAACAACTTAAACCATGTTAAGAGGGAAGGTTCTCAACTTTTCCTTTGTTGCTGACCATTTGTTGGGGACCTGACCTACATTTGAGCTGCCATCAGCGTTAATCTCTCTGACTACCGCTGGCTTTATTTCCAGTATAAAGCTCTCAAAGCAAATCTTAGTGAGTGGGAACTGGACGCATGCAGCGGCTGGGAACGGTATTTCCCAAACAGGCGCATTAGTCCACTAAGCTAGGAGGTCAACCAAGACACTCATTGTTGTGGCTAACTGGTCAGAATTCGGGCACTTTTGTTCTCTTTCCTTTCACTGCGCAGAAGAATGCGCTGCTCCTTCTGCTTTCTGCGCCTAAGCTCGCTGCTGTTTGCTACAGAAATGATGTTTTCTTTTAATGAAATGCAGCTTTTAAATCAAAATGCCTGACATGCTTCTCTCTACAGGGGTTTGATCTGTTGATTTTCATCAACTTTTTATTACAAATTGGTGTGAATCTCACAAAAATATGCAAAACCTATTTTAAATACAGTTGTGGGACATGCCATAGTTTCCCTGTTTTAATATAAATGAGTTGATTATTCCACTGAAATGCTTGTGTTTTGTATGCATTGAGATGTTGGATATATTTAAAGGCGGTTAAGCTGCATTCACTTTCTTTCTTGTGTCTCTCTAGTTCATCCTGATCTTCACAGTGATCCAGTACAAGCCCATCACTTACAATGACTACGTGTATCCGGGCTGGTCCTTGGCTATCGGCTTTGCTATGGCTATGTCCTCAGTGGTCTGCATACCCATCTATGCCCTCTACAAGATTTCCAGGTCCCCAGGAGCAACCTTCAGAGAGGTACAGGCCCTGACAAGGGCTCAAAAACATCTCTGCTCTAACGCTCACCTGATAGTAGCGGCGCTGTTTGTGAACATCTACAGAGATTGATGCATCGAGAACTTTTCATTTGCACAGTGACAAATTAGGGTGTCTGAATAATGTCTGACATTTCAAATCCAAAGAGCAGGAAAACTGTAGCGCAGGAGAGAACATGGAGCCTAAATTAAAACTGAACTGGCTCTTGTTCAAAGTTTAATACCCTGAAATTACCAAATGGAAAAAGTTTCCTCTGAAATCTAATTTATGTTCCTTATATTGTACATATTCTGATCACCATCTAAATCAAATTAGGACTCAAGAAGTGCTTTCTGTACGTAGACTGCTTTATGTAATCATTTCCACATCAAATGATAAAGGGCTTTTAGCCTTCAGAGGCCTAATGAAAAATGCATTAATCTCTCAATTAACATTACACTGACATAAGGTAATTTAAGAAGTGAGGGGCAAAAAGTAACCTGAAAAAGCCAAGGTGTAGCTAAATGTCATATGCCTGAAACAAACTAAGAAAACACACTCAAAGCTGGATGATGAAATCTAATATTGGAGCACCGGGGGTCAAACCTATTGTTTGGGATCTGAATCAGGTGTGTAGAAGCAGGGAAACCTCCAAAACCTGCCGGTCAGCGGCCCTCAAGGCCCAGGGTTGAGGTTGATAATGGCTTGTCCCGGCTGGGAATTGAACCCACAGTCTGGACCAAAGGCAGCAATGTTACCACTACGGCAAGATCGTACATAACATGAGAACCTGCCACAGAGCTCCACTGAAACGATGAAGATTTTTCCTCCTCAGAAGCCCCTGAAGCCGATGCCGGCCTGCTAGAAGGCTATGCTAATTTAAGCTGCATCAGTTCAAACCATCATCAGAGAGGCCTAGAGCTAGAGCTCCTGAAAATGAGGCGAAAAGAGAGTCCCTGAGCACTGGGTGAAGAAATTAGAATATACAGTATCTACCAATACAGAATGGTGGCATAAAGTACATTTATGGTTGCACAACCTCTAACTTAGTGGAAATACAAAAGAGGAATTGTATGAAAAAACAAACTGCACTGATTATTACCCTTTTAGGAAAATAAACCATAAAGTAAAAAGACAAAAAATGAAGAACAAACAGTGAATGAATACTGGTATTAAAGTAAACATGTAAATAAACCCGCTGTAATGCATTACAATCTTAGTTTCCTGTTTTTTTTTTATTTTTATCGCTGGGCCTTTTTGCCTCTTTAAATAGCGTATCCTTCTTTTCAGGAAATGAAGGAAATTCTGTCTTCAGGTGATCTAATTTTAAATCTTGTTCAAATAACCGCAGCCTTTGACGGATGTCCAATCTCCACCTTTCTCTCTCAGCGTTTGAAGTTTGCCTGCCGAGCGCATCCCAAGTGGGGCCCCGCCCTGCAGGAGCACAGGACAGGCCGCTACGCCCCCGCGGCCTCCGAAGACACTGTGGAGGCGCGTCCCCTAAAGGAGAAGGAGGAGCTGAAGGAGGAGCAGAAGGAGGAGGAGAAGGAGAAGGAGAGGAAGGATGAGATCAGCCTCACCATCCAGGGCAGCAACGGCTCCACCAACGCACACAACAACCCCACCCCCAGCGCATAGACGCCCGCCCCCTCCGTCAGCACCACAGGGCACGCGGCCCACCGTCTCCTCCTCCTCCTCCTCCTCCCTTTACCTCCCCCTTCTCCTCCATCCTCACCCCGCTTTCCCACAGTCCTCTGTGGGGGAGATCCCATTCGCTCGAGACCTTTACATATTGTAAGGGCTTATTATTTCTATCCTAACCTCTTCTATCTGCCTGTGTTGTCTCTAGATATATGCAGAAAAAAAAAAAACGAGAGGAAGAAGAAATTGGGTCATCGTCCAAAAGATTCGTGTGCATGTCGGCGTGCGAGTGTGCGTAAATGTGCGTGGGTGAGCTGTTAATTTGTTCCTCATTAATTTAATAATGCAGTTTGTTTTTCCTTTCTTTTTTTTTTTTGTAGAAGTTGTAAATGTCATCTTCATCCGCGGTTAGAGGTACGGTAGATTGTGAAGCTGCATGCGTTTGTTTTTGTGCATGCGGCAGCATAGAGACACACACTGTTCTCCTGCACTGGGTTGGCTGGGGCTGTTTGGGATAGGTGGCTTTGTGATCGGACAGCTGGAGACTTGTTGTGGTGCTGTGACTGTAGAGGAGGAGGGCAGAACTGTGTCCGGACGGGCCATTCTCAGTCTTAATGATGCTGAAAAAAAAAAGGATATGGGCTCTACTGTATAGCCAGAAAGGAGTCATGTTCATACACTTTTTATATTTCACAGCACACAGTGACCTCAAACACAGTCCATCTCAGCTTAAGACTAAGCCAGTTGTTTAGTGTGCTGCTTTTTCTTTAAGTTTAGACGAAAGGTCTGACAGAGCACAAACACATAAAAAGATATGTGACGCTCAAAGCTGATTTTCTCTCTCCGCCAATAGTATTATTTTTCGTAATAAAGCTGCTTAGATTTTGAGTACTAGGCAGAGAAATGCCAGTGAAATGTACTGTAACTCTGCATTCACACATATACACACCGAGCATTTGATGTTTTTGACAGAAGAGGTCCCGTTGCAAATTTCTCAGGGTCCAAGTAAAGGTAAACTTTGTGGTTCCTTCCTGTGGAAACTGTTAGAGGGACCGAAACCACCGAACTGTAAGCACTGTCAAAAAAAGAAAAAAAAACACACACACACACACACACAAAACAGATGGATTCAGCTCTGCATTATACAGAAGGGCCATCTCTTCTTTAGTCTTCCAGGCATTGTTTTTTGGTAAAAATGCATCTCGGGATGTGGTCTTTGAAGGAGAATCCATGTGTCATAGTTGGTGTCTCTTATGGGTTGAAGTAGTCTGCCCCATTCAGGCATGTTACCAAAAACATTACCTAAGTTCCATGAGTGTTGCACATGTTTTTGGTAACATATATATCTCAGATACTGATGTGCTGTCAGTCTTACTGTCAGTGGAACCTTTAATGTATAAAAGCTCTGAGCCATGCTGTGCTGTGACTGATGGGGAGACAGAAAGCAGGGAGATGCTGCTTGTTTCCAGAAAACAGAATATAACTAAGGAATTATGTAGATTTAAATGTTGCTGCATAGTAATGTCCTCTCAGTAGATGTCTCCTTTTACCTCTCATTGTAAAGTAACTTAGTAAATAATGATAAATACAGCATATGTTTATTTTGTACAAAGGATAAAACCAACTACAGAGTCATGACTAACATTGTTTGCTGTTCCTCATCTGTGACTTTGTTTTTGTTGCGGTTTTGTTGGAGGTCTGATACAATAGAGAGGGCCTCTTTAACATAAGGTGTGTTCGATCAGTCGTGGTCCGGAAACGGCGTTGTGGGTAGAGCTCTGTGTCGGGCTTTGGCTGTACAGAGGTGGTCTTAGCTTCACAAACCTTTCCATCTGTGGCCGTTCTTATTTGCATTACGTCTGTGGTTTAATACGGTTTGGTTGGGATACCAGCAGGGGCACTTAAATGAATCAAGCACACAAAATGATACATCACACAAAGCACTTTTACACACAGATATGCTCTTTGCTTCCTGTTGAGAGCAGCTTCCGTTAGCTTAGCTTAGCATGAAGCTGCTTGGCGTTGTCTGAAATGGTCACTGTTTACTTCCCATCTCGTCAGATGTTTATCAACTGAATGCTGATAGTCTTTAAGAAAAACAGACAAATAAGCACCAACAAGTCAGCAGGTCTTAAGAGACAGTCTGGCCCTCACCACCATGAAGGCCATATTTTGTGAACATGTTTCTTGTCTCTGATGGGCCAGGCAGTGAATTCTGGACAGCTTCTGGTTGTACACCTGTTTGTAATATGTATACTAAGCTAAGATAACCTGATACAGCCTGTAGCTTCATATGAAGCGAACGGTAAAGAGGATGTTGGTGTTCTTGCAGCCTTAGCAGGACATTAAATAAGCACATTAACACCCCTTTTTAGAAGTACTTAATGTCTGTCCGTTGCTGACAGATTTTTAAAAGGACATCTTTGGAAAGAATTTGCACATAATAATTTGCATTTACACCGTTATGACAAAATTCTGAGGATAAAAGTGGAGTAGTGCTGAGAAGTGAATTTGTAATAAATCATTGAGCAATGAAATATTAAAGCCCATCAGACACATGGCTGAGAAAATGTTTAATGAAATTAAGTTAAAAATACTTCCATTATCCCAAAGCGAAGTAATATAAAACTGTTTTTTTTATTGTTAATGATGATATTTTGGAAGCAACAATAGGGAAATCACTGTTAAGAGCAGGATTTCATATAATATTGAACCACAACAAGCACAGTGAGCGTCCTGTAACAAGCACACATTTTATAACAAGCTTAACTTTTGTACAGGAATGATCATAGAGATATGTTCAGGCTAATTCCCCTAGAAGCGTACATTTGCTTTTTCATTAGTTTCTAGTTACTTAAGGGGAGCAATTTTCTTTTAGCAGTCATAATCCAATTTGCGGAATCACATTTTTAAAAAGAATGATATCATCTTTCTTTAGTTAGCAAATTCCAGCGAAACCAGGTGCTTTTTACGACAAGCCAGTACATCTCTTTCGTGTAATCTAAATGTACGGTTTTGCTTTATATTACACACTCAGACTTCCACTTTGTGGGTGAGGCTTGACTTGTTGACAGTTTGATCAGGAACAGCATGTAGCTCAGACCGTGTCCTGCTTGCGATTGCCTGTCCTGTATGCTCATGTTGTAATACGTTAACGTAACCCCATAAATCCCATCTCTCATCTCCTCAGAAGGCCCTGGATCTCTTCCTCCTGTACAGCAATGTAAAAAAAAATACAAACACACAAAAAATGAAATATTCTGTGTTATGTGGTTGTTTCTCATCGTTTTTATGGGTTGGGAGCTTGTTTCTGTGGGTCAGGAATGAGCAACAGTTGATTTTAGTTTCTATTTTTCATATTTCTGGTAGCGTAATGTAGATTTTGTCAGTTGTACTGTGTATTATGTATGTACTAGATTAGCAATTACATCGGAACCTGCATGTAAAGCAGGTTTAGTGCCAGTATTGATGTCCATGTACCTCTAATCTACCAGAACTAGCCCTATTCTATTCTGCTAATCACATACAATAAGTATTTTAAAAAGGAAACTTTTTGTACTAAAAGTAAGAAAGAAGACCACGATCTTCAGAATATAATTATGATTAATCCATGTTCAGTTACAATGCTTTTTGTTTTTGACATTGCATCCATATGCGTTCATATAAGATTCAGCTGAAATTAAAAGCATTGCCAAACAAAAAGCTTTGGATCGAAACTTGAACTACAAAAGATGGTTAGTTTTTACAGAAGTTGCAGCTATATGACTATGCTTTTGTTTGTTGTTGTTTTTTTAACAGTAGAACATCTTCTATTTGTTCCATGCAGTGCAGTGCCAGCAGTCTTACATCGCTGTTTACCTTTAATAGCCCTTGGCCCTAAATGCGAGCAGTTTGGCTGTTCCCGTTGTTGTAAAATGAGCAGAACCAGAACACTGAAATGACTGTAACCGGTATAGAATCCGCATGTGGAACTCCCATTGTCATTCTTCTGAAAATATTGTTTTGTGATGACATTTTAGACTAATAATGTGGCTCATGTATGAAATAACGATCCACGTACTATCTGAAACTGATATTTTCTCTTGTTGGTAATATGAACCGTACTTTGTGTGGCCGTGAAACCTTCAATTTGTTTCTGCAGAAAAACACAACTGACAGTAATTGACCAGATCTTCAAAATGTTATATACTATTTCATTTTCATCACAGTGCAGAAGGCTGTTAATGCTGAAAAAAATGTAAACTTAGCAAAGGTTTGGACCATTTTGCACATTTATACAAAGCACAAGTAACTGTTAAACTGTGACTTTACCTTTTATTTCTGCAGTTCTCTGCCGAGGACAGACCATTACCTCTTGAATCTCTTACTACTGCTCATGTAAGCATAATCTAATGCAGCACTTTAGAGAAATAAGCTGTTTTTGTTTTTCTTTCCTTTTTTTCTTTTTTTTTTTACAAGCAGCAGGAGATAAAGGTGCGAATAACAAGTCACGCTTCCATTTAAATCAACTTGAGTAAATGAAATAACGTCTTTTTCAGTTGCATGGCTGAAAGATTTTGCAGTGTTGTCCTTATTGTTCCATGGAGGGAGTGGAGAGGTAAAGCACAAGAGAGAAACGAGAACACAGCTCTTCTGGTACCTTCTATCATATATACGTGTCTATCTATCTAACCATATCTGTTCTTGTTCTTCAACCTTTAGGGCCAAAATTCATTGAAATGTCTTAGTCCTGTCAGCTGTATATCGTAAGCTGTTGAATTACAAAATGGTAAATAAAATCTATTTTAAAGATCAGTTCCTGTGTTTCCTTAAGACTTAATTCCACTTCTTTTATATGGGGTTGTATTGCTTTGGATAATGAATTTATTTAGTTTCTCAACAATATGTTGCTGATAAGAGGTTTCTTTTCTTAAAAATCAATATGTGTGGTGCTTTAAAAAAACACTTTACTATTAGATATAGAGTCTGAAGAGTTAGAATTGTTACGTGACAACATGCATTTCACACGGGAAAACAAAAACATTTTCTCACCATTTTAAGAGCTGATACATAAGAGATGTTTAAAGAAAATCACTGTTTTAAATTTGTCATGACACACATATATTTTATTAATTGCTCAGCCAAACAAAAGGGAAAAAGATCCAGTAAACCAAATTTGGTCAAAGAATTTTAACCAAAGCAACTGTTTAGATGCAAAGTCGCAAATACATTGCAAACATGTTGGATTTCACCTTTGAAAGTAGTTTGATGTCACATCACATTCTCATTGTGGCGATCCAGTCAAAAATTCCCTGCGAGGTGCAGCGTGAGGATGGGAAAATGCCAGAGATGTAATCCAGCATCTGCTGCAGGCTGCAGAATTAGTTAAGTCCCTGCTGTTTTGGGTAAAAGTTTGTAAAATGAGCAGGTGTTAAATAGGTTGGGGTTTGGTAGTCACCCTGGACTGTCTGTTTCTGTGGCTTTGCATGAAATCCATCTACTGACTGTGAACTGATGGTGCCTAGTTTGGAATCTTTCATTCTTTTTATGATAGTCTGTTGTTCGGAGTGGGTACTTGCCCCCTTTTTTTTTTTTTTACTAAATGCATTTACATTAGGATCCAGAAAAGAGGGTCAACGTGTGAAAACCTGTTCTCAGCCTTTTAAGCATCTACTGTTTAACAAATTGAACATGATTGTGGATAAATATCTTAATTAAACAATTAAATGGGGGGAAAAAAGCATTTTGTGAATACATTTTGAAGCAGAAGTCTGATATATACATGGACTGTCTGGTTTAAATGTGTCCGGGTCTAAAAAAGTATCATAAATTGATCAAATTGATGCCAGCATGTGCTGTAGTATTGTTAAATAAGACAGTCAGAAATACTAACCAGGCCTGGAAAAACAGGTAAGATCATTCAGAAGTATAGTCACATAGATGAAACAAAGTGGATTTAGTCTAAAACTGAGATGGTAGGCATCACTGTATCCGCCACACTGCTCCTTAAACACTACTGACACGAGAAAATCTCAAGGGATGACGGGAAAAATGTAGACAATTTACACCTCAGTCATTAAAGTGATTTACGCTGCTCGGCAACCACATCTAAAGA